CCGGGGGGGGCAGGACCCCCGGGTGTCCCCCCGACCCCCCGGGCAGCCCTTACCCGGGGCAGGGGGCAGCGGAGCTGGGCGGCCTCGTGCAGGTCGGGCACCAGCGGCACCAGGAGGCGGTTGGGCAGCACCAGGTAGGAGGAGATGGTGTCCATGATCATCGTGTCCGACATGGAGCTGGAGGGGGCACGGTCACGGGGGGGCCGTGGGGGGCTGGGCCCGGGGGGCCGGGAAGCCCCCGCGGCGGGGCCGGGGCTCACCTGAGCCCTGGGATGTCCAGCAGGTTGGTCATCCCTGTCCAGTTGATGTCCAAGGTCTGGGGGGTGGGTTGGGGTCAGGTGAGGGGTCTGTGGACCCCCGCCCTGTCCTGCAGGGGGGGGTTTTGGGGCTGCCGGTCCTTTGGGGGGGACACGGCCACACTCACCGGGCGCCGGATGAAGAACATGGTGAGGGCCCCCACGATGGGCACGTCCCCCAGGAGGGGCTCCAGGATGATCCGCAGCATCCCGTGGAGCTGGGGGGGGCAGCGCTGAGAGGTGACACCCCCAGGGCCGTGACCCCCTCCCACCAGCCCCCCAGGGCCCCCCTCACCTGCATCCCCTTCACCCCTGCCTTGCAGAAGAACTTCTTCACCTCCACGTCGATCTGGACGTCACCCACGTAACTGCGGGGACAGGACACGGGGGCCTCACCACGACACCCCCCGGGCCCCCCAGAAGGGGGCTGAGACCTGGCGCTTTCACCACACAGGTGGCTCCGACCACTCACCTGATGTTGAGGTCCAGCAGGATCTGCTTCTTGTGGGTGCCGGGGTGAGCCCGGACCCCCAGGACCCGGAGGGGCTGGGGGGGGCAGAGGTGAGCGGGAGAGCCTGGGGGGAACCGGGGGGAGCACCCCAAACCCAAGCCCAAACCCAAGCCCAAACCCAACCCCAAACCTACCTTCTCACCCATGTCCACCTTGGTGAAGGTGAAGGTCTGCAGGTGGGTGTTGGAGGCGCGGATGGCGGGGGCCACGTTCTCCACCAGCAGCTTCTCCATGTACTGCCCAAAAAAGGGCCAGGCCTGGGCCAGGACCTGCCAGAGCCAGAGGGATGGACACGGGATGGAGGGATGGACACCGGGAATGGGGGGATGGACACTGGGAATGGAGGGATGGACACCGGGAATGGGGGGATGGACACCGGGAATGGGGGGACAGAGGCAGAGATGGGTGGAAGGGTGCAGGGATGGAGGGATGGATGGAGGAAGGAGGGATGCAGGAGGGAGGGAAGGATTAAGGGAAGGATTAAGGGAAGGAGGAAGGGAGGGAGGGATGCAGGCAGGGATGCAGGAGCGGGGATTAGAGGGATGCCGGGAGGGATGCAGGAGGGCTGTACAGACGGCAGGGTGCGGGGCCGGACGGACAGACGGACGCCTCACCTTGTTGAGCCATTCCGCCCGCTCCACATCCGGGAAGCTGACCTGAGGACACGGGCGGGGGGGCGTGAGCCCGGGGGGGCCGTGAGCCCGGGGGGGCCGGGGAGGGCACGGCCCCTCCCAGCCCCGTGCCTCGGTTTCCCCGACCCGCCGGAGGGACCCCGCCCAGCCCCGTCCCCCCCAGCTCGGCCCAACCTCTGCCCGTTCCGGGGGGTCACGAAAGGATGGGGGGGGGGTCTCGGTGGAAGGGGGTCTCGAGAAAGGGGGTCCCCACCCCTTCGGCACCGCGGGGAGGGTTCTGCGCCCCCCCCTCCACCCGCCCCATGCGCGGCCGGGCAGGAAACGGCCCCCCCGGGCCCGGTGAGTCACGGCCCGGCCGCGGCGATGCCGGAAGGCCCCGGGCGGTACCGGGGGGGGTTCACCCCGCTGCGGGAATGGAGCGAGGGGACCCCGCGCGGGGGGTGGTCACGGGGCTCTCAGTGGGGCGAGCGGGGACCGGCCCCGGGGCTCCCGCACCGCCGGCAGCTCGAAGCGGGGCTCGGTGCGGCCGCCGGGGGTCCCGCCAGAGCGGGGGCTGCACAGAGTGCCCGCGATGCGCTGCCTTGGGCGGGGGTCCCGCCCGGCGCGGAGCCCAAGGGGGGGTCCAGGCAGCGTGGCCGGGGGGGGATGAGGTGTTCGGCCCTGGGGGTCCCGCCCGGGGGAAGCCCAAGCTGGGGAAGCTGCGCAGCAGAAGGCGGGACCGGGCGGCGGGGCCCGGGGGGGATGCGGTGCCCAGCCCCGGGTCCCGCCCGGCGGGGAACTCAAGCGGGGTCCGCAGCGCAGCAGAGGGGGGGAGTGTCCGCGGCAGTGGGACCCGGGGAGATGCGGGAGGATGATGAGGGGGGATCCTGGGGGACCCCGGGGGTCTCAAGCGGGGTCCGCAGCACGACACAGGTGGGGCACTCGCCAGCGGGGCCAGGGGAGGACGCGGTGCCCGGTCCGGGGGTCCCGCCGGGGGGATGCGGTTCCGGCCCCGGGGCAGGACGCGGTGCGGGGTCCGGGGGTCGCACCCGGCCCTGCAGAGGGGGGGTTCCCCGAGCCCTTCCCGCCGCCGCCCCCGCGGGCGATAACGGCGCGGCGGGGCCCCGAGCACCCGCTTACCCAGGCCGGCAGCTCCCCGCGGGCCGCGCCCAGCCCGGCGGCGGCGGCGCGCACCGCCGCCTCCTCGTCGCGCTGCAGGCGCTCGGCCGCGCGCATCCCGCGCTCCCGGGCGCGCCGCCGCCGCCGCCAGCCCGCGTAGAGCGCGAGCGCGAGCACGAGCGCGCCCGCGCCGAGCCCCAGCAGCCCCGCGGCGTAGGCGGGCAGCGCCCACAGCAGCCGCCGGCCCAGCGCGCCCAGCGCCGCCAGCCCCGCGCCGCCGCCGCTCCCGCTCCGCCGCTCCATCCCCGCTCCGCTCCCGGGCCCGCTCCCGGTCCCGCTCTGCCCCCGGCAGCGCCGGGCCACGCCCACGGCACGCGCACCTCACCCATTGGCTGACCCGGGACAGGACCCGGCCACGCCCCCGTCCCCCCGCACCATCCATTGGCCGCCCGCCAACCCCCAGCACCGCCCACCCCGCAGTGGGCGTGACCTCGGGGAGTCACGTGTGAGCCCCGCCACGCCCGTATTTATTAGTGGGCGTGGCTCAGGCGATGGGCGTGGCCGAGGTCACGTGTCCGCCTCTGCCCCGTACTGAGGGTCCCCGGCCCTTCCCGGGGGTACCGAACCCCCCCCGGGGGCCCCGGGACAGCGACCGGGACCGTGCGGTTTGGGGTTTTTTTAATAGCTGAAAATGTTACAGGGCCAGCGCAGCCCCGGTGCCGCCCCTGCCGTGGGACTCAGTCCGGGCACCGGGCGAGGGGGCCGTGTCCATTCCCGAGGCTCCAGGGGGAGCAGCCACAACCCCCCCGCGCCCCCAAGGAGGTTTCCCCGCACGACGGGTGCCGGACCAAGGTGGGGGTCCCGCACCCACAGCCCCCGTGGGAGCCACCAGCGTCCACGGGCTGCACAGGGTCCGTGCGTCCGTCCTCCCGCTGCCCCCCGGGCTCAGTTCCACGGGGCGGGGGGTCAGTGGGGCATGGCCGTTATCCTCATGCTCTGCGAGGCGATGGGGTAGGTCACCATGGGGGTGGTGGCGTGGCTCATGGTGATGCCCCCGAGGGGCTGCGCCATGGACACGGCCACGGGCGCCACCGACACGGCCACGGGCGCCATGGACACGGGGGGGGCCATGCCCTGGGCGATGGTCTGCGCCAGGGCCGCCGACAGCGGCGCGATCTCGGGGTTCATGGGGGGCGCGGCGTTGGCGGGGGGGGCGGCCTGGGCGCCGGCGGGGGCCACCAAATCCTGCTGGGTGACGGGCCGGGGCTGCAGGGCCTGGCTGCTGAGCGTGGTGTGCGTCTGCGCGATGCTGGCTGCTGAGCGTGGTGTGCGTCTGCGCGATGCTGTGGTTATAGTTGGTGACGGTGCCCACGGTGGGCGCCAGAGTCTGCTCGGTGGCCGTGGCCGTGGAGCTCAGCGTCATCACCTTGGCCTGGTTGCGGAACTGCGCGTTCTGCTCCAGCAGCACCTCGTTGGTGGCCAGCAGGTTGTTCACCTGCTTCTTGAGGTCCTCCACGCGCTTGCGCAGCAGGACGTTCTCCTCCTCCAGCAGCCGGTACTCCACGGCCCGGGGGCTGCCGAAGCTGTACTCGTAGGTCTCGTACAGCCCCTCCACCCGCCGCCGCTTCAGCACCGGCTCGTGCTCGTCGTAGCGGTCGGGGTCGTAGAGGAGCCCGTCGAAGGGCTCGAAGCGGCGCCCGGCGGGGCCCAGCCCCTGCTCCCGCCCCCGCGCCTCGTACTCGTAGTCCCGCTGCAGGTGCTGGAACTTGCACTTGGCCCCGCGCTGGCAGTCGCCCTTCAGGAAGTCCCTGCAGATGGGCACCTCCTCCTTGCTGTTGGGCAGGTCGGCGGGCGACAGCCCCAGCCCCGCCGCCACCTTCTGGCGCAGGCGCGGGGGCAGCTCCCCCGTCTTCTTGTAGCAGTCCTCGTCCTCCTTGGTGCCGTGGATGAAGCGGCAGTTGAGGCGCACGCACTCCTTGTTCTGGAAGTCGTGGCAGAAGATGAACTCGTTCTTCCTCACGCCCAGGTTGGTGACCTCGCTGATGTCGGGGTGGCGGAAGCGGCAGCGCTTCCCGCGCTTGCAGACGTTCCGCAGGAAGTCCCGGCAGATGTCGTCGGCGTTGGCACCCACCTCGTCCCCGCCGCCGCCGCCGCCGCCGCTCCCGTTGGTGTAGCCGTCCCGGTCCGGCATCTTCGGGGCAGCTCCGGGTGCTGCGGGGGAGGGACGGGGTGAGGGAGGCACCGGGAGGGAGCCGCGGGAGCCGGCGGAGGGGAACACCCGCCACGGAGCACCGGGAACAGAGAGAGAGAGAGAGGGACGGGGTGAGGGAGGCACCGGGAGCAGCTCCGGGACCGGGGGGAATCACCCGCCCCAGGGCACTGGCGCCGCTGCGGAGACGGCGCAGAGGCAGCAGGGCCCGGGAGCTCCCCCACAGCCGCCGGTGCCCTCCGGTGCCCCCCGGGATGTCTCGGGTGTCCCCTCAGCCCCCGCCCGCTCCCAGCGCCACCGCCGCCCCGGAGGGAACCCCGGGCCGCCCCTCACTGCCGCTCCCCGCGGCTGCCGGTGCCGCCGGCGTCCCCCGAGTGCCGCCAAGCCCCGGGGTGCGGGGCCCCCGCCCGTGACAGCCCCGCGGGGCGCTCCGGGAGGGACTCGCACGGACACCCGCGCGGCCCGGCGGGGGCGGAGGGACCGGCTCGGCGGAGCGCGCCCTACCCCGGGCCCACACTCACCGCTCGCGGCCTCCCCGCGGTGCCTCCGGCGCCAGGAACGCGCGGCCGGTGCCGGCGGCGGGCGGGACCCGCTCGGCGCCGCTTCCGGGGCGGCCCGGAAGGACCCGCGCGGCGGCGCGCCGGAACTACGTCATCGTGACGTCACTCGGGACAGCCGCCACCGCGCGGGGAGACCCCGGCGTCACCTCCCCAATCCCCGTGTCATCTGGCCCCGTCACACCCCCCTGAATCCCGGCCCCGGTGTCGCCTCCTGGTCCTGTCACACCATCCCAAACCCCGGTCCCGATGTCACCTCCCGGCCCCGGTGCCACATCCAGGTCCCGGTGTCACCTGCCCTGCTCCGGCCGCCCCCGGTCCCAGCTCACGGCGCCGGCTGCCAGTCCCGTTACCGGAGGATTCCCCCGTTCCCGGAGGAGCCCCCGGCCCCACCTGCCCTGTTATCGGAGGAGCCCCGGTGCCGGTCACCGGCCCCGTTAAAAGAGGAACCTCGGGCTGCTCCCATCTCTCGTTGCCAGAGAAGCCCCTTCCCGCCGTCCCGGTGCCCCCGTCACCGGGGGCTCCCCGGTCCCAGCCTCCCGGAGCCGCCACACATTGTTCTAATAACCAGCTTTTATTCATAGCACAGCGGCCGTTACAGAGCAGAGAGAACGGGCCCGGCCCAGCGGGACCCCCGCGGCCCCGGGAGGTCACCGGCGCGTCACCAGGGTGTCACCGAGACGGCCCCGGGCCGCGGCCCCAGCGGGGTCAGTCACTTGGACCTCTGCCTCATCTTCCTCCTCTTGCGCTTCAGCCTGGGGACAGAAGGGACAGGGTGGTGGCGTCACCCCCGGGACCCCCCAGACCACCCTCTGGGGCCCCCCCTGGCCCCGGGGGTCCCCCCAGGGGTCCCCACGTACCTGCGCATTCGCTTCTTGCGCCACTGCGGGAGAGAAGGAGGGGCCGTTAGAGCCGGTACGGGGGGGCTGGATCCCGGCGCCCCAGTCCTACACTGTCCCAGTACCCCCAGTGCCACGCTGGTTTGGCTCTCCCAGTGTCCCCAGTCCCACACCGTCCCAGTGAGGCCTGAGCGGGTCTGAGTCGCAGCCCGGGACCCCCAGACCTCGGAGCCCCCTCCCCAACCTGGGGCACGCGCCCCCCCCTCCATAAGGACCCCGCCCGCACCAAAGGTTCTCCCACCCCGCTCCCAGCAAAGACACCCCCGATGGACCCCAACTTCCACAGGGAGCTCCCCAGTCCCAGCACAGGGACCCTCCCCCGCCCTCAGAGACAGCCCTCCAGGACCCCCCACCCCCTGGAACAACCCCTGGGACACCCCCCAGGGACCCCAATTTCCACAGGGACCTCCTCTCGCGCCTCCACCGACACCCCACCCAGCAGGACCCCCCAACCCCTGAGACCCCCACCGAGACCCTCGTCCCCTGCACCAGGAGGTGGGACCCCCCTCCCCTGGGACTCCCCCCCCGCCTCAGGAGTGTCCAGGCCGCAGGGTCCCTCCCACCCGCCATCCAGGCTCGGCCATTGCTGAGGCGCCATCGGCCGCCCCCCGCCGCTCACCTTGGCCCTCATGGCGGGGCGGCGGCGGCTCCGCGCTCAGTCCGGGCGGGCGGGGGCGGCGGATGGAGGCGGATGGAAGGGCGGCCGGGGAAGGCCCCAATATGGCGGCAGTGGCCGAGAGGGGCCCGCGCCGCCCGGTTGGCGATATTTATAGTGGAGGTAGGCCACGCCCACAGGGCGAGGAGCACGACGGGATCTGTAGTTCCTTGCCCCGAAGCATCGCGGGAGCTGTAGTTCGGTCGCCGGCCGCCATTTTGCGCAGCCCCCCTTTTGGGGGGTCCCCAAAGGTGTGTGTGTGTCCCCCCCCAAAAGTCCCCTCCGACCTGTCAACGTTTAAGTTTATTTGGAATATGAGCATCAAAACCAGTTTTTCTGGGAGTTCCCGCTTGCCCAGGGTGTGAACGGGATTGTTGTTGCATCACAAAGGCCATCCAGGGACTTTCCTTTAAAAATATAAAGTATTTATACTGTAATATAAATATATAAAATCTAAACATATTTGTATAATAATATAAAATATTAAAAAAATAAAATTAATAAACCTCCAGCAGATATCATGGGTTTATAAATCCGTGCTGTGGACTAGGAGAGCACACAGCTCCCATCTCCAGGCAAAATACTGGTTAAAAAGGCTAAAACCAGGGGGGCTTCCCTCAAAATGAGAGATTTTTTTTCCCCTCAAAATCAGGATTCTTTTCCCTCAAATTCACAGTTCAGATGCCAGAGATGCCCAGGATCCCACATCCACCCCACACCCACCCCGGAGCCGAAAGAACTGGAGACCAGGAGCAGAGAGAGATGGAAAAAATTCAGAATAAAATCCAATATCGCATCGTTTATTCTCTTTTATTGACTTTGGTAATATTTGCACGTGTGGAGTTTGGGGTGGAAAACTCGGATCTTGACGAAGGAAGCACAGCAGCCTGCGGAGACGCCCGGGAATGTTCTTAAAAGGCAAGAGTTTTTCCCAAATTCAGCTCCGTCGGGGGGGGGTGGGGGGGGGGGAAGAACCAGAGGTATCGGCAAAGAAAAAAACCTCACATTCAACTCATGGCATCAGGCGGCTTTTTTTCTTTTTTTTTTTTTCGTTTTTTTTATAAAAGTGACTACAAAAGAGCGATACCCCTGGCCGGGCTCGGCCCCGGCGGCTCCGGCAGCGCTTCCCTCACCCGTCCCCCGAGCAACAGCGGGGATTTCTTCCCCAGTTCCAAAGGTAAACCCAGAGGGAAGGGTGAGAAATCCTCTGGCCCCAGGTGACGGCGGGAAAGGTGGAATGTGCTCCCGGGCCACAGGGAACTGGACTCGCCTGCCCCTCCGCAGGGCCGGAATGTCGGCGGCTTCCGAGGATTTGGACAATTTAAAAACGAGTTTGTGTTAAAAAATAGCGAGTTTATCCCTTAAATGAAGGCAAAGACAAAAACGGAGCAGCCAGAGCACTCTCCCAGGGGACCTCAAATTTGCCGTTTTTCCCAATTATAAATATAAATCCCAGAGGGGAAAGATAAATCCTCTGGCACCGTGTCCCAGATCACTCACACAGGGCACTTCTCTGGGTGTAATTAGCTGGTTTTGGGTGGGGTTTTTTGTCCTCCATTAAAATTTGTAAAGGGGAAAATTAAAAAATATAAAAGGAGGATGAGGAGGAAGAGGAGAAGAAGGAGGAGGAAGGAAGCAGGTGGCTCCCTACACTCCCTCTCGCTGGATTGGGATTAATTCCCCTCTTCAAATGTGGGAAATATAAAAGGTTAAAGATTTAATAGTGACTTTTACTCCTAATTTTATTTTTTCTGCTCTTTTTTCAGTTGTCTGAAGTGGCCGAGAGATTCCTCCCTGCTTGGCAAAGTCAACGGGAGCTGCTTGGAGTCAGTGGGAAGTCCAGACTGCCTGGTCCTGAGGGGACCAACAGTGCCAGATTATTTTGCTTCTGGTTGGATTTTTTTGGGGGGAAAAGGGGCCATTTGAGTGATTTGGGGGCTCTCAGTCGCCAGCCTCGTTCTCCTCCGCCGTCTCTCCCGTGGTGGCATTTTCTGCATTCTTGGAAGCCTGTGGGGAAACCGGGAACACGTCAGGGCTGGGGGGTCCCACACGGCCACAGCCCACCCTGGGGGCCCTGGAGAAGCCCCATCCCACGGAGCTGCTGCTTCCTGAGGTGGGAAAACACCAAAATGAACCCGAAACACAGGACTTGGGAGCATCCGGGTGCTGCTGAGCCCCAAGTTTACACAAGGGAATGGACAAATTCCCACAAGGAATGGACAAATTACCTTCTTTTTCTTCTTTTTCTGGGTCTTCCGGCTTGCAGAGCTCTGTAGAAGGGCCTGGAGACAGGAAGGAAATGTGAGGAGCTGGAAAACTACTCCTTTTTCAGTCAGGAGGATGGGGAACAGCAGGGAAATCCTCGGGGGCACAGGATGGATGGGGAATTCCAAGGTGTGATTCCCTAAATCCTTCCTGGAAAGGGCTGGGAGTCCTTATCAAGCCACGAGAGCAGGAGCTTGATGAAGGAAAGGGGCCCAATCTGGGCTTAACCAAATCTTGCCAAATTCACAGCACAAACCTCTGCAGAGGCTCCTGGACTTTAATTTCCACCTTCCCCGCCCCGGGATGCAGGGACAGGGTGGTACTTCTGGATAAACACATGTGTTATATACACTGTACATACATACTGCTTATGCAATTTTATAAATACACCTAATTGACATATTAATACTTGCAATTATCAATATTAATCACATTCAGGATCCAACCAACCTTCAGTTCTCCGTCCTGCACCTCGAAGTCGGACTTGTAGAGCTCGGGCTCGAAGGGGCCGCTCGTTATCCTCATGGGCCCGTTGGGCATCAGCAGCACCGTGAACTTGAACTGTGCAACAAACTCCCCTGCGAGGCACAGCCCGGGTTAAACCTGCCAGGACCTGCGGGGCTGACCCCTGGAGTGCTCCAGGCAGGCACTGCCCCCTGATCCCAGCAGTGATCCCTGACCCAGGCACTGCCCCCTGACCCCAGCAGTGACCCCTGACCCAGGCACTGCCCCCTGACCCAGGCACTGCCCCCTGATCCCAGCAGTGACCCCTGACCCAGGCACTGCCCCCTGACCCAGGCACTGCCCCCTGACCCCAGCAGTGACCCCTGACCCAGGCACTGCCCCCTGACCCCAGCAGTGACCCCTGACCCAGGCACTGCCCCCTGATCCCAGCAGTGATCCCTGACCCAGGCACTGCCCCCTGACCCCAGCAGTGACCCCTGACCCAGGCACTGCCCCCTGACCCAGGCACTGCCCCCTGATCCCAGCAGTGACCCCTGACCCAGGCACTGCCCCCTGACCCAGGCACTGCCCCCTGACCCCAGCAGTGACCCCTGACCCAGGCACTGCCCCCTGACCCCAGCAGTGATCCCTGACCCAGCATTGTTCCACGTTCCCACCTGGCTAAAAACCACCTCAGAGGAGCTTCTTCAACCTGCCAGGACCCGCAACTCCTGCTGCTGACACCTGCCAGGACCCACAATCCCTCCTCCTGAGCAGCTCCTCTGGCTCCATCCTCCCCTATTCCTCCCTCACCTGCCCCTTCCCCACCCAGCACTCACCTTCCTTCTCGTAGAGGACGTTGAAGGGCTGGAGCAGCTCGTGTTTGGTGCATTCCACCACCCCCATCCGGGCCTTCTTCTCGTCCTCAAAAGCCCTGCGAGGAGACAGAGACACCTGGGCTCACCTGAGCTCAAACCCAAGCTCACACCTGAGCTCAAATCCCCTGCAATTCCTGCTCAGGCCCCTCACATCCTTTCTACACCCTCTCCTGGGCTCGAACCCTGCAACTCCCCACAGAGGGCAGCCGAGGCCGTGCCCTCCTCCGAGCTGGGACAGCAAAACATGTTGGCTCTGCTCAGATTCCAGCCCTGGATGAGTGTCCCAGCCCCCTGGATGAGTGTCCCACCCCCTGGATGAGTGTCCCACCCTCTGGATGAGTGTCCCAGCCCCTGGACGGGTGTCCCAGCCCCCTGGATGGGTGTCCCAGCCCCTGGATGGGTGTCTCAGCCCCCTGGACGGGTGTCCCAGCCCCCTGGATGAGTGTCCCACCCCCTGGATGAGTGTCCCAGCCCCCTGGATGAGTGTCCCACCCCCTGGATGAGTGTCCCACCCCCTGGATGAGTGTCCCAGCCCCTGGACGGGTGTCTCAGCCCCCAGGACGGGTGTCCCAGCCCCCTGGATGGGTGTCCCAGCCCCCCTGAGTGTCCCACCCCCTGGATGGGTGTCCACACACCTGAGGGTGAAGGGCATGGTGTCGAAGCGTCGCTCCACCTCGCTGAAAAAGGCACGGGAGGTTTTCATCTTCAGGCCGTACTGCTTGGAAGGGTCCCTTTTGTAAATCGTGGTTCTCTGCCCCGCATCCTTCGCCTGGAAAGGCCAACGGGAGCTGTGGGAGACCCGGAGCGGAGCCGCCCTCGGAGCAGCCCCCTCCAGACCCCCCCCCCAAGGTGCCCCTCGGTTTTTGGGGTGGGCTCACCTTTCCCTCTCCGCTGCTGACGAGAACATCGACAGCGTAGACTTCGTGGACCTCGAACTCGGCTTTCTCGTGGTCCTTCCTGCAGGGAAAAGAGTGTGGTGAGGAAAAAAAACGGAGAATAGGGAAGAGAAAACCTCCCACGAGCCACAGGACCCTCAGGACTCGGGATTCTGGAATCCCTGAGGTTGGAAAAGACCTCTAAGGTCACCGAGTCCAAACTGTGACCGATCCCTGCCTTGTCACCCAGAGCACCGAGTGCCACGTCCAGTTGTTCCCTGGACACCTCCAGGGATGGGGACTGGGATTTAAAGCCACCAAACTCCATAAATATTTACTGTAAGACCCAATCCCAGGGGATCCCCGAGCTGCTGGAGCAGGATGGAATGAGAACCCAGGCCAAAAAGCCCAAACCCCTCCTGAGACGGGACTGCCCAGCACCCCCATCCCGTGGGATCCTGGCAGCTCCTCAGGGACAGCCAACAGGTCTTGGCACAGCTCTGAGCTGGCACCACCTCCACGACCAACAGTTGGGATTTGTGCTGGCAGCTTCCAGCAGATCCCCAGGAACTGGACAGGAACCAAGGCCAGGTGCCAGCACGGAGCCTCCTCGGTGGCTTCCAGCTTTTCTTTCTCAGAATGACCCCGAACACGGACTCACAACTCACAGGATCGGGGATGGTTTGGGATGGAAGGACCTTTAGAGGCCCAACCCTGTGCTGAGCCACCCTGGGATGAGGGACAGGACCCAAGGGAACAGCTGGAGCTGTGTCAGGGGGGTTGGATGGATTTTGGGAACAGGTTCTTCCCCCAGAGGGTGGTTGGGACTGCCCAGGCTCCCTCCCCAGGGCAGTGGGCACGGCCCCAGGGCTGCCAGAGCTCCAGGAGGGTTTGGACAATGCTCTCAGGGATTTGGGGACTGGGGAAATTTTTGGGGTTGTCCTGTGCAGGGCCCAGAGCTGCACTTTGATCCAGGGCACCCTGACCCCCCCAAAAGCTCCTCACTCACTTCTGCTGGTCCGACGGGTTCTGGATGATGGTTTTCTCCCCGTCGATCACGTGTTGCTTCAGCTGGTGTGACAACATCCCTGTCGAGAGAGGGAACTGGGCTCACTGGGAGTACTGGGAGGGCAGCTCTCAGGTCCAGGGAGCAGGGAGGGAAAGAGTCTTCAGGGTCACACAGAAACGGGGGTGTACTGGGAGCTGTACTGGGCTGTACTGGGAGCCCCGGGCACAGGCACACCAGTGGGTTGTACTGGGCTGTACTGGGAGCCATTCCCCACCAGTGTCACGGCCAGGGAGATTTCCCACAGTTCACCTTCAAACCCAAGCCTGGGAAGGGGCACCAGCACATTCCCAACCCACTCCCTGAGCCAGCAGGGACTGTGGGATGCCCCTTTTGGGAATGGGAAGCACAATCCAGGCACAACCAGCTCCGTCTGCTCCCATCACC